ATATCATATTATTTTTAGCCATTGTTTGCAGCAGTTTATAAATATTGAGAAATATTTTTTTACGATTAGATTTATTCTAAACGCTAAGTGTTTAAAAAAACATTTTAGTCATTCAATTGTTTAGTCAATTGCCGGTCATTTTTTTTACTACATTACACTTAACCATTCAACTCTCAGTTATTGGTTGTATAAACATTTCTATAATATATAATAGTATTAATATTTAAACACATATGTTAAATATGTTTACAGTAAAATATAAAAAAATAATGCACACAATTAACATATAATGCGGATATCGCTAATCATGAAAGGTATGGCCACTTGTGTTCACTTATATTATATATTATTTATATGCTGTATATATATATATAGGGGTACAGTAATCGCCGGATACTTTACGGAGACCTGAAACGCTACTATAGCTAGTGTTTAGTGTATTTAAGGCCTTAAAGCATACATTCATTTAAAATAATGTTAATTTATTGAAGTATTTCCCTTACAATTGGCATAACTCAATACAATTGTATATAAGTTGGGAGAGAGAGAGACCTAAGTGTTTATAGCATAGTTGTGTAGTTGTTTTTAAATCAATACTATAATTTTAAGGCTTAACTCTTATGATCAATGGTTGGTAATTATATGAGACATTATTTATTGGGCAAAAAACATAGTAGACTTGAATAATAGATAATATGATTGTGAAATTATAGACTACTTAAAGACATACATTTGAGAGTTGAATTCATTATTTAATTTATCACAAAAAAAAATATTTTTCTCTAACTTCTCTGAGCCCTTAGTTTTTTATATACAGAATAATAAAAATAATATGTATTGATATTTATGTTATCTTTTTTTAGACATATGTTTTTAACTATAATTTTAAAGTCTGTTTTCTAAAACGTCTCTAAATATATGTAAAGATTTACTAATTTCGTGACTAAATAATAATAATAATACAGTAATAATAATAATTTTAATTACAAAATTTGTCTAAGAATTTTTTAAAAATATTTGTTAAAAAATAAGATAATTTTGTTTTATTTGTCAAATATGTCATTGATTTGTTATAAAATAACTAATTATTAATTAAAGAAATAAAAAATTTATGTTTCACTTTATTTAAAATAAAATATTTTAAATGCAAATTAAATTCAATAAAAATTATATAATAAAATATTTGGGAAAAAATTATAAAAAAAATCAAACATAAAATCAAATATTTTTATAATGAATGACACGTTTCGCGACAAATCTTTTAGCCCTTAAAGTCATTGCCTGTAAATGTCTTTTATTTGGGAATTTTTTTCATATAAATTTCAGACTTGTTTTTTAATTAATTACTTTAGATTAACAACAAAAAACTTTTATTTATTTTGAAAAAAATAAATAATTATTCAAGTTTTTTCTTAAATAAACCAAAATTAATTATGTCATCGATTATGTAATAATTGTATTTATTAAATAAACTAAAAAAATAAAATTTTTGTATTATTTAATATATTTTATACACCCAATAATTGATTTCCGTGGTTTTTAAAAAAATTAATTAAAAATTTGAATTATATTTTGTTTTTTTAATAAACTTATTTTTTTATAGCAACAATACATTATAAGTATTATATATTTATTTATATAAATATAATAATAATAATAATAAAATTATCATCATACATCATATCATCAAATCTGATAACACATTAGTGTCGAGTGATTACAATTTAAAAAAATATATATCATATGTTTAGTACAGTATGTAATATAGTATATCCAAAGGGTTAGATATAAACATATTTAAGCATATACTGCCATTGATCAATAAACTATCGCTCATGTAATTAATGATAATTTTAAAATGTTGTTAATATTATTAAATAATATGTTTAATGTTTATCATTAAAACATTTAAGAACTCATTATTTTTTTTTGAAAAAAATTACCCAAATATTTTTAATAATATAAATATATTCTATTAGAATATTTTAATATAATTTATTTTTTATAATTATAAAACATTTAACAAACTTAATTATAGTTATTTACTAGTTTAATTTTAATATAATTTTATTCAAACATTTAATTTACCTATAAATTGATAATAATTATATTTATAAATAAACGCAATATTCTAGACTTTAAATATTCATCGTTATTATAATAAAAAGTTTATACATCACTGTACAAATAATCTTAGAGTAAGATATCATTAACCGCACTATCTATTAATAAATGTTATTCATATTATATAATTAGTAATCCTTGAATATAAAAAAAAATTCTCAACAAAATTTCCCATTTAAGTAAAAATTATATAAATGTGGTTTAATTTTTTTAAAAGAAATTATTTAAAAAAATATTTTCATTAAAAAAATATTTCAACTATATTTTCGTAAAATATCGTATAAGAAAATTATTATATTATAATAATAATGAATGTATTTGTATTATTCAAATGGTAGACAACTACTAGACTGGTGCTAAAAATGAACTTTAATTTTTTGAAAATCATTTCATATTTTCTACATATTATAAACAAATATCTCATTTATTTTAATAACAACAATAATCTCTTTTTATTTTTTGGAAAACATACATATATTTTATTTAATTTTATAAACAATATGTATCACTTTGTATCAGTTTTTTGATGTAAAAAAATCTACAGTATATACTGATATACTGTTTATTTATACATATTATACATACAGTATAAAATTGCCTAATATATACTGTGTAATATTTGAATAACCAATTAACATTTTCAAATTGTTGAAACCTATGGATACAGTAAATGTTTATTTATAGAGTTTTTAAAATATTGCATTGAATTTTAAATATTTTTTAACTCTATATTTTAATCGCATTTATGACTGGAAATGTCATGAATTTATGATTTTATGTTTATTTTTTATTTAATATTCAATGAGAAAAGATTTTTATATCTTTTTTTAAATAAAAACGTTAAATATGATTTTTATTTATATATATATATATATATATACTGTATATATATCGGTATACAAATGTTGTGCACAATGAGTGCACACAATTATACAACCATTTGAATCACAATTTATTTTATTTTTTTAAATATAAATATAATATAAATTTTGGTAACAATAGATAGTTTATATAGCTTCTGGTTATGCATTACTAATCGTAAGTTATTTTATACTGGAATTTGAAATTATCAGAAATATATGGCAAACAATTGTATCGAAAAAATTATTAATACAAATATGTATTGAAAGAAAAGCAAATGATTATTCATTGAAGTAAATCAAAAAATATATTGTATTATTAAAAAAAAGATTTATTTGAAAAAACTACTATTATTTTTTATATTAATTCTTACAATTATTTTTGCAATTATTTAATATAAATAAATAAAATTCAATACAAAAAAGAGTATTAAAAATATAAATTTAATTCAATAATTAATATTAATTAGTTAAAAACAAACAAAAAATTATAAAAACCGCAATAATTTAGTAAAAATATAAATAATTATACGTTTAAATAGATTATTATTATTATTGTTAAATAAACATTAAATATATATTTTTCTTGTTTAAAAAAGTTAATATATGTTAAACATTAAGTATCAAAAAATTTAACGACTACTTAATGTCAACACTTTTTTTTGTTTTTACTCTTAAAATAAATTTTATATTTTGTTTTTTAATTTTTGTTGTTTTTTGTTGTACTGTTTAGAAAAAGTTTACATTATATGCGATACTTACAGTAACGTAAAACATCCATTAAATTGTAGGGTTTAAGCAAAATTACATTAATATCATATCATTTCTATTAAATATAACTACTATTAAATATCACATTACAACCAAAATAAAAATAAATATAAAACACAATCATTTAACCACAAAAGTATTTTAAACAATTTTCTGTACATTAGATTTTATTCAAATTTGTTTGATTTTATATTTTTAAGTCAATAAAGTTTTTTTTGTTTTAAAAACAAACAAAACAATTTTATTGTCATAATTATTGTATATCAATATTTAGATTTTAAATTTAAAAATCGTATAAAATATTAAATAAAAAATATTTAACACAAAAACGATTATTTAGTGAATGTTAATGAACTTAATTATATAGCATTTCCTGACATATTATTTACTTATTAATGTCATTATTTAGATAAACATAATTCATTTTATTGAATTAAACATTATTTTCAAGGTAAACAAACACTACATGAATTAGCTAAAACATATTAATATATAATATAAACATTTTGTTCAAAAATTTTTAATAATAAACTACTAAATAGTCTATTAAATTAAATTGTTTTAATAAAAATAAAAATAATAATAACTTTTCTAAAATAAAAGTTTGCTAAGCATTAAAATTTTTCACACTAATTATTAATTATGTTAAATAAAAATTATTTCGTATTTTTCTTTAATATACAAATTATATCAAAGTTAAGTAATAAATATATCAAGTTTTTTTTCAATTTTTATATATAATATTTATATAAATAATTTATACAAAGATAGACTATACGTTGATAATAGTGATAATCGAGTTTAACATAATAGCCAAAAAACACATTAATTGTATATAAAATTATTAAAAAAGTAAAATTTATATAAAAATATAGGAACTGAACATAAAAAGTAGTAATATTTTTCACTTCATTGGTGGTCTTTCTTTCAATATTTTTATATAATTTATTTCATTTCAAAACATTAGTCAAACATAAACTTCTGGTCATTTATGTTGCGCTTCAATACCATTTATATTGTAATTTAAACTTTAATTTAATGTAAAGTAAAAAATAATTCAATTGTATTATATTAAACAATTTTATGGCTAACGTGAATATTTATATATATTGTATAATTTTTTTATAAAAACACAATGACCAAGGTGTCTTATCTTTTTTTTATAAACTTAATTATATATAAGATAAATATTTATAGTTTATTTTAGCTACATTAAATTTAATTAATTATAAAAATTTAACATACCTTATAAATGGTGAATATTGAATAAAAATGTGATGATAAACAAAATCAATGATAAGCTCGTTTATGGTGATCATCAAAATAATTTAATACTCTGAATGTTAAACACAAAAAATATTCAAACATTATTAGCCAAAATAAATGATTATAAGTTAAATTATTTTAAATCTAAACTTTAATACATACATACACACTATAATAATATTATCAAAAATATTTAATAAAACCGCACAATCACTGAACCACAAATACAGTAAAAAAAAGTTAGTCTAAAAAAGTCTTAATGTTTAATAAATAGTATAATTTGAACTCATTTATTGTATTCAGTGATAATAAAAAATATATATAAATCGGTTAATATAAAGCATAACATCTTCATATCAATGTATGTAAAGTCAGAAATCAAAAATAATTAAAATGCTATTGACTTTTAAAATGTCAATTATAAATGCTATAAAAAAACTTATCACAAAACATTTTTTTATAAACTATAAAATCTTCAAAAAAATAATTATATTAAACTTTTTTCACAGAAAACTTAATGTCTCCTCTCTATCAAAATAATGTATTTATGTCTATAGTCTAACTAATTAACTAATCTGTAAACTGATATTTTAAGCAAATATAATTATAACTAACTTTAATATTTAACTATAATTATAATATTAAATAAAAAATATGATTAAAGTTTTTGTTAATTTAATATATTAAACAATATAAATAAATTCAATACCAAATTAATTATATTAATTATAACACTAATTTCATAAATTATTGCTTATCTTGTATATGTTTAACACTTCCTTTTTAATATTTATTTATTTAAAAAAAAATATTTTTGCATTTTTAAGCAAACTTAAATTACAATTTGCAAACTTAATATTTGCTTAAAATAATTACACACTAGACTACATAAACTACATATTTTACTTCAATTTGTATTAACAAATTATAATAGTAAGCTCTACCTAATTATTATTTTTTTAACATTAATGTATAAAAAAAAGTTTTTTAACACTTAAAGTAGTTTTTTATGCACGTATTTCATATGCATTTAACACAAACTCAAGGCTCTAATTATAACAAACAATCATAAATCCATTGAAAAGCTAATTTAAATTGAGATTCAAGTGCTCTCTCTCTCTCTCTCTCTCTCTCTCACTCACTAACTCACTCACTCACTCACTAACTCACTCACTCACTCACACACACACACACACACACACACACACACACACACTCACTCACTCACTCACTCACTCACTCACTCACTCACTCACTCACTCACTCACTCACTCACTCACTCACTCACTCACTCACTCACTCACTCACTCACTCACTCACTCACTCGTTCACTCATTCACTCACTCACTGTTAGGTTATCCTATGGTAGAAAACCTATTGCTTATTCTGCTATTGTAATCATATGCCTATAACTTAATAACAATGGTTTTAAAAGGGATGAGACCTAAAGGTTAAAAGCTATTCATCAATAAAAAGAAAAAAAGAGAAAAAAATAAGACTAATTCACTTCAAGAGATAGACTCACAACTAATACTGTAATTACATATTTCTCTCACTGTGTTGTGTCTGTCTGTACAATATGTGTGTGCGCCGGGATGTGAGGTGAGAGTACACAACACACACACACACACACTGCGAGTCGTATTGTTATGTACCGTCCGCTCAGTTATGTTTAGCGCCTGAGGCCAACAAACCAATAAAATAGCCTTCGTTTGCATTTTTAAAAGTATTTTTTCTATAGATATATATGTCTTTCTAATGATTATCGTTATGTGAGAGAGACTAATATAGTGACGGATCCATTTGATGCATAAATAAAATATATATAAAACTATTAGCAAATAATAAATTTATATACAGTATATCAATGATAATTAACTAATTGTATTTTTATAAAAAAAAACATATGTTTGTACCGAGATTTTCATTGTTAACCCATTGCTTGAATGCTTTCTAAGCTTATTATCTATTGGATCCGTCACTTCAATAGCCGTCCCAACGTTTATAATAATCACAATAAACTCTATTATTAACACTAATATAACAAATACATTATTTTCAAAAGCAATTTAAATAACTTTCTCTCTCTCTCTCTCTCTCTCTCTCTCTCTCTCTCTCTCTCTCTCTCTCTCTCTCTCTCTCTTTACTATATGAAAATGTTTTACTAGTTTTTTTATAATTTTATTTTTAATATTGATGTTTAAATTTTTATTTATTTATTTTTAATTTACCATTCTTTTTACATAATATGAAAACTAACAAAAAAATTTTTTTATTAATAATAAATTATTACTTATTATTATTATTATTAAAATTGTTGCCTGTAATTCAATTTCTATCAACATTTTCTAATATATAGCAATTTTTAAAGTTATAATAATTATTACTTTTATTTTTTATTATTTCCATTGTATTATGCATTGTGATGAGTGTCTATTATTTTTATTTTATAACTTTGTTGTTTCAATATAATTATTATTTAACGTATTATTATAATTATCTATTTTGGAAAATTGTATTTACATAAAGAATCGGCAAAAAATTGATTACTTTTTTTTATTAATACAACAAAACAAATTAATATTATATATTTATTGCCGAAACTTTATTTGCAAATATTGAGTAAAAAAAATTTTACGACATGTGATAAAAATAATTATTCCTTTATATTATATAAAAGAGCGCAAAGAATATTATTATTTTATAAAAATTTAAATAATAATCTATTTATACAATAATTTTTTAGAGTTTATATTAGACTAAAGTAGTCAAATGTCTATCACAAGTGGCTTAAGATTTATCTTTTTTTTATTATTATTTCTGTTAACAAATGATGAGACGGTTGAGTGAAAAGCAAATAAAAGTGATATTCGCTGACACATTAAATATTAACTTTTTTATAGTAAAAATATCGTGAATTATTCATAAATTTGATGACTTTATAACAGACAGTCAAATAGGAGACATACTGTATATTACAATATTTATTATAACTTTATTATATTATATAACAATATTTATAGTAAAAAATTAACTTATAGACGAAAGATAATGAACATTAGATAAGCAAAACATCATTCAGTATAATGACTGACACATAAAATATAAATTTTTATGTATTTTTTTTAGTATTCAAATTAGTAGCAGTATTATTGTAGATTAAGTACATAATAACCAAATTTAAAGTAAGTTATTTGTATTCATATGAAATGTCTGCCATAAAGTAATTTACAGTATATATTAAACAGTGTGTATAGTTGTGTAGAAAAAAATAAATAGTTTTTATAAGACTATCCACACAACACTATTAGCTCAATTTTTGAGGAGACAGTGAAATAATACTGTACTATACATGTGCATAGATAGAGAACAGGTAGGTCATGAATATATGTGGCACCGGAAATATAATTGAATGCTTCAATTGATTTTGATGTCACTCTTAGTTTCATTTAAAACTGCTTTCCAGTATTCATAAGATTGTTTAAATTTATAGACATTTCTATTTTAAATACTATATATTGTAATATATTGTAATACATTGGCATTACATTTACAGCACCAGTAATGACACCCAAACCCAACATTTAGTTGTATACTAACTATTGATATTAATTAATTTTTTTTCACTAACACATTATTTGTCGCAGACATTTAATAATAAAATATATTATAATAATAATAATTATTATTATTGCTAAAGAAATTGTATAAAACTGTCGGTTCATACCTTTAGCCACACCCGCACTTAAAACGACAGTTTCGTATCCAATTTTTACTACAATTTTAACCAACAATAGTATATACACTATATATTCAAATACTGTACAGTAGTTAATATAATATTAGTAACTTAAGTAATATATTATGATATAAAGTTTAATTATAATTCTATAATTTTGATATCATATAACAATGATTTGTTTATTAATATAAAATGAATTATATCTCTGTTTATCTTTTAATTCATTGATAAGCCTTAAAAATATAATAGGATTTAAATTGTGATCTCAACTGATTAAATAAAAATAAAACAATATAATCTATTGTAATACATAGTAATAATTGCTTTGAAATAAGATTGTAATGTTTAGAGAGAAAAAATCATAAAATTAATTATTTTTATTAGCGGTTCTAAAAAATATTAATTAAAACTAAATTATTGCTTAAATTTAAATTAAATATTAATTATGACAACAATTCTATTATTTTTATGTTTAGAGAATATGTATCACGAAATTGTAGTTTTTAATAATTTATTTTTATATTAAAATAAATTAAAACCATTGAGAAAATAAATTATATGTTATTGTTTTATAGGTTAATTAAAAACAAAACAAAATATAATTAGATTTTTTTAAGCAAATGTTTTTAAAATTATTTCCTATTGTATAATCTATCTAGATATAAGCAGGTAAAATAAACAGTACTTTAGTATAATAATTATATGCAATATTACTCTAATTTATTAATTAATGATTATTTTTAAATTAACAAAAATTGCTAATATTTTAAAATCTAAATATATATATATATATATATATATATATATATATATATATATTTAGAAAAAATATCTTTTTTCAGTAGAAAAAATTAACTAATTATCTCAAATAATACAAGTATGGATTAAAGATATGGATAATGGACTATATTTTATACAATTACATCGCTTTTGTCGATTTTGTTATACAATAAATACTTTTACGCAAAACTGTTGCCAAATGACTAAACATAAGTTATATTTTGTTATAAATTTTAAAAAATAAATAATAACAACAATACATAAAAATGTATATAAAAAATCATAATTCCCATCATTGAGACCAACATCAGCGTATTTGTTGGTTTTATAATAATTTTTTGATACATTTAAATTGTAAAAGTCAATTATGCAATGCATCATAAAATATATCTCATAGATACTGTTATGGCATATGTATGGCATAATTTATAACACACACACACATGTGGAAAGTGTGTTCATCTATTGAAATAAATTTTCAAATCAAAAAAAGTTTAGTTCACAACTGGTTTATGTATGTATTGTAATGTATAGTAAATTATGTATTG